TGTCCTATGTGTCCACTCCCCTTTGCACCAGGATAAAGGCAAATCACACTGGTATAAATGTGTCGTGGGCAGGGCCGACCCGAGCAGGGTGCAGGGCCCGGGCCAAATCAGTCCATGTGGTGCTCCGATCTCACGGGGCCCTGTCCCGAAGAAGCTGCCGCAGCCATCGATGTCGTCGGTGTCGGGGGGAGGGATAGCGAGCAGCTGGACGCGGAGTCACTGCTCCGCCCAGCTCTGCGGGGTCTCCCAAAGCATGGGGTCCCGGGTGGTCGCCTCGATTCACCTCCCCCAGGGACGGGTCTGGTCATAGGTCTGCACGCCAAAGCAAAGCACTTGCAGGGACTACAGGGTAACAACCAACCGGCTAGTGTGCCAGCGCTTTAGCAAAGCCTTTGTGCGAGCAGTGTATATATATATAGAGAGAGAGAGGTCTCTATTCTATGTATATAGATCAATGCTCCAGTGAATCCATGCCGATTTGTTCCTAATCACCTTCTGCTCCAAGTGCTTCAAAATGGATTCCTTGAGGATTTGCTCCAGGATTTCTCCAGGGACTGGGTGAGGCTGACTGGGCTGGAGTTCCCCGGTGCTCTAGTCTGCGAGCTGACCTTGCCTGCGAAGACTGAGGTGAAGGCGGCATTGAGCACTTCAGCCTTTTCTGCATCTTGTCACTAGACTACCTCCCCCATTCAGGAAGGGACCCGTACTTCCCCGATCCTCCTCTTGCTACCGACATACTTGTAGAAACCCTTCTTGGTTCCCTTCGTGTCCCGTGCTCGCTGCAACTGCAGTTGCACTTTGGCCTTCCTTACTTCATCCCTGCATCCCCGAGCAATGCTCTTATACTCTTCCCTAGGTATTTATCCAAGTTTCCATTTCTTATAAGCTTCCTTTTTGTGACTTAATTTACTGAAGAGTTCCCTGCTAAGCCAAGCTGGTCTTCTGCCACACTTGCTAGTCTCCCTGCCCATCAGGATGGTTTGATCCTGCACTCTCAGTAAGGCTTCCTTCAAGTACAGCCAGCTCTCCTGGACTCCTCTCCCCCTCCGACCGGCTTCCCAGGGGATCCTGCCCATGAGTTCCCTAAGTGAGTCAAAGTCTGCTTTCTCAAGTCTGCTTTTTACTCTGCTGCTCTCCATCCTTCCTTTCCACAGGATCCTGAGCTCAGTCATTTCGTGGTCACTGCTGCCCAAGTTGCCTTCCACTTCTACATCCCCCACCAATTCACCCATTAGCGAGCAGCAGGTTAAGACGAACATGGCCCCTAGTTGGCCGCTCCAGCACTCGCACCTGGAAACTGTCCCCAAGGCTCTCCAAAACCTTCCTGGATAGCCTGCGCACTGCTGTGTTGTCCTCCCAGATCTCAGGGTGCCTGAAGTGCCCCGAGTCCTTGTCAAGGCAAAGCCAAGGGCTTGCTGCAACTCCTAGTCCTGCCTGGGCTGGGACAGTTCATGAAAGCTTGTTGCACGTGTGTGTGCATGCGTGTGCACACACATTACACACACACACACACACACACACACACACACATCCATCACAAGCTTTTAACTGTCCCTACATACAGTGCACGTGTACACAATGTGTAAACAGATATAGTGTGGTGTATATAGATTGCATAGTGTATATACATAAACTGTACACACACACAGAGCGTATATACATACACACGTGTCCACACACACACAGCTATATACTGTACACACAGATATATAGCTTACACACACAATTGTGTACACAGTATACATACAGATATGCACACACACACACACACAGACTCAGCATCCATACATACATGTGTATACTCACACACACCTTGTGTACACGGTGTCTACACACACACAGGCTGTGCATGCACACACATACACAGTATATACACACAGACTGCTGATTGTGTACAGTGCATATACATTCACACGCACAGACCGGGTACACATGCAGACTGTGCACCTCCTTGGGGTCATCTACAAGGTGCAACTCCACGGTGCCTGCTGCTTGACTTCAGCCCGAGGCTGCGGCTACCCACGTCTCTGCTCAGGACAGCTAACCCCTTCCCTTCCCCTCCCGGGCAAAGGGACCCAGGCGCTGGCACCAGCAGCTGCTCTCCATTTGCCAACCCAGGTCGACACCCGAACCCGGGACGTACAGCAGCAGCTGGCTGCAAAGCAGGTGCTGCCACCTAGTGCCCCCACGGGCCAGCGCAGCAGGGCTTTTGCAACCATTTGCCAGCCCAGCTCTCCCACGCCGCAGCCCGTATTGCCTAAGATGGCTGAAGCCCAAATCAGCCTCCGCACCAGGCCATCCCGGGGCTGGGCCTGACGCAGGAGACTGCAGCTGCCACCTGGGACTTGCCCAGCCACCCTCTAAGCAGAGCTCGTCCTCTCCTCGTCACCCCGGGGTTGGGAACGACCCCATCCAAGTCCCTGCACACGGGTCACTTGTGCATGAGGGCATCACTGCAAGAGGGACCACGTGCCCAGTTCTCACCAGCCGCTCTAGCACCAGAAGCCGCTACCTGGGGCTGCACCATCCCACTAGCACCTGTGAAATGTTAACACGAGACCCCCAACTGCCCCTGCACTTTGCTCCAGCTGCAGCAGCTGCCTGTTCCCAAGCCGCCCTCCCTGCCCCGGCTTCTTCTGCCTCACCCAGCACAGGCACGTGCCAGGAGCACCTGCACAGTGCACAGCCACAGGGGAGCCGCCAGGGACATGGTGCAATGGAGAGGGGAGCATCTGCCCATATGTCAGTGCAGGGGCAAGCAGTCCCTGGACCCGTATGAAGCACGGTAACTCCCAACCACCCTGCCCTGAGCTGGCAGAGGCCTGGATTTGAAGGCTGCCAGCAGTGTCATGGCAAGAAGTGAAGGACACTGCCCTCCCGCCCAAGCCCAGGACCAGGAGTCTAAAGCCTGGCGCTGGATGCATGACTGGCACGAGTAAATCTTGGCTCCAGATTTCTCCATGCGAAAAGCATGGCTCCAGGGTGCCCCCGTGAGCTTGGTACCCGGCTCAGCACATACTTTAAAGCAGCTGACCCAGCAGTGTGGGAGGCAGTACAGAGAAGCACAGGCCTTTGCACAGGTGGATACCTACCGTCTGCCAGTGCGACTACCGGCCTGCAACAAGGTGGGGAGGAGACACGTTACTTTCCAGGCTGCTGATACGATTTAACCCAGCAGACAACTCGACTCCAGTGGCACCAGGGTGGCTGCTGGAGTCAGGGAATGGATGCTATCCCCCCTTGTCCCCCTGCCACTAGCTTGAATTGGTGGCAGCAACTGAAGAGAGAATTCAGCAGTGGGCAGATGAGGTCTGGAGGCCCCAGTTTAACCCCAAGGGCCAGCAAGGGGGAAGCTCTGACTTGGATGCACATTGAGCCATGTACAGCGATGCAAGCTGCATTGGAAAGCAGCAGCTTCAGCAAGTAAACCCACAAGCTGCCCTCAAGCCCCAGGTAAAAGCCCAGGTCAGGCTTACACTGAGCACTATGCTGCAACAGGAGACAGTGCCCTGGGATGCAGGAAAGCTTCCACTTTTCCACAGGCAGCTGGAAGCAGCAGGTGCACAGCACAGGGCTGTGTACAACCATATGCTGCTATCACTCATTTCAAAGCCGTAAGTGCAGCAGTTCCAGCTTTTGCAGCTGCCTGGCTTGGAGACAGGCTCATATCTGTTGTACGGCTCAAGCTGTAGTAAAATGAGTGTGTGATTATTAGGCAGACATCTTGGAGAATGCCTGCTGCAGCAGCTTTGCACCAGCTCAGGGGCCAGGACAAGCTCCTTCCTTCCTTGCAGTTGCCAGGGAATCCCTTGAAGCTAATACGTGCAAGGCTTTACACTACCACAAATTTCACACCACAGCCCCGTCCCTGGGGCAACCAGGAACAGAAGAGCCTTGAACTTGCTTGCAGCACCTGTCACCATCTCCTTGTGGATGAGGCCGAGGGGCACAGCCACAGAGGCTGCAGTGAGAGCACCAGCAGGCTGGTTTTAGAAAGGGAGCGTTTGGGGAAGGGGCTCCAGCCTTCTGCAGTAACCAAACTCTCATGACCACCTGCACTATCACCTTTGTGTGGTGGTGCTCAGGACTTCTTGTTCTTGGGTATTTAATCAGCAGAGTTAGGAAACCAGTTGTAGGCCAACAGACGGGAGATCCCACGCAAATGGAAGGCCAGGGCAGTGCTTTTAGAAATAACAAAGCAGCCGCTCATTTCCAGACATAACAGTCTCTATGGCACAAGATGTATTTGCCTGAAAGTAGGTCCAACTTCATGGGCTCTTAGCACATAGCTCCTGTCACTTGTAGTTCTAGATCAAGGGTTCCCAATCTTTTTATGCCAAGGACGGGCAAAACTGCGGACTGGCAAGGCATGGACAGGCTAGCCAACCATTTTTTGTACTCGGTATAAAAAAGGATTGGCTGCCAGTCCGCAGTATGCTGGTCACTTCCAGTCCACGGTTTGCCGGTCCACGGCCACTTCCGGTCTGGCAGCCATCCCTCTGGCAGACCGGCAGCCAACCCTTTGCAGCCTGGCACCAGGCCACGTCCCAGGGGTTGGGAACCCCTGTCCTAGATGACTTGATTTTCATCCAGGACACCTGTACCTCTGCTACTTGTGTGACCCACTGACTTTCCAGTCACACCTGGCTGCCTGGCAGGGGGTGAGCCCCCAGAAACACACAGCTTCCAGGTGTCTGAAAGTGATACCTGCTGCATGCCCGATATGCAAAACTCCTCTTAAAATGGCCACGTGAGAACAAGATATCCTGGTTTATGCAGCTCTCTTCCCTCTGCCCTTGCTTTTCACGTAGTTATAGTGTAAAGCCTCAGCAGTCCCTCTTCCAACTGTACCTACAAGGTCAGGTGCTTATCAGCAACACGTGTATGGGAGAGGGCAGCCGAAAAGGCTGCGTGATTCCTACCAAAAGGAAGATCCCCCTCCTTCCCTGCCCCCAACTGCTTGTTCCCCTCTTCCCCCTTCTGAATAGCAGAAACCAGGCACCAGTTGAGGCCCTTTAATCTGCCTGAGGCAGCGCGCCGAGGCACAAATCATGATAAAACGCTGTGCATTTTTACAGCAAAAAAAATGCTACAGAAGTTAATAGGAAAAAAAAAATATTTTTGTACATGGGTAAAAGGTTATAAATTCAATGACAACTCACAGACAAGGGGAACTCCCACATCTACTGCTCATTTCTTTAAAATGTTCCTTTGAAAGTCACCATTCAAAACGGTGCTCTTCCTTGAAATGAAATTTGCTGCTTTCCAAGTGGCTCTCGGTACTGCTTTGCGTCTTGGAATGTCCTCGGGAGGCTCCGTCAATAACAAGGGGAGAATAAAAACCCCGGAGTCCTTTCAGAGTGTCTCAGAGAGGAGAGGGGGAAAGGGAAAGTTTAGTCGTCAAATTTGATCTTCTTCCCCTGGGGCTTGTGATCTCCTCCTCCTCCTCTGCCTCCCCGGAAGCTTCCTCCTCTGCCTGGAAGCAAATTTAAGAGGTGATTAGAAAGCAAAGCCACGTCTGCACAAACCCAACAGCCGTAATGCACTCCTGGATTCCTATCTGGGCAGGTCGCAACGTGCCAGATTCATCACGAGCAGCTCCACTGTTTGCTGGGGCTTCTGTGCTGCTTTCCAAAGCAAGCGGGCAAACCCAGTGAGCCCTGAACACATGGCCCAACAGATCACATACCTCCAAATCCTCGGCCACCACCTCTGCCACCAAATCCACCGCGGCCGCCCCGGCCACCTCTGCCTCCACGGCCCCCGAATCCGCCGCCGAATCCACCACCACGCTGACCGTCACCCTTGGGCTTAGCGAAATCCAGTGTGACTTTGTTCCCATCAATCTCACCATCCTCCATAGCTTCCTTAGCTGCTTTGGCCTCTTCTGGGGAACCAAAGTCCACAAAGCCAAACCTGTACAGAGGCAAGACGAGAGCTCAGCCATGACTGCAATGGCCACTGAACGCAGCCCTGCAAGTCAACCTGCTCAGCCTTCTGCCATCTTTAATAGATGAATCTAAAGAGGACAGAAACTCAGGCAGTTTTCCTAATATACTTAGCCTAGAATCATTCTCTAATGTTTTGGTTTTTCAACTCATTTTGCTCACACTTGGCAATTTTATGTATGCGCATTAAGGAGCTAGATGGACACAAGGGGTTTTTTCACTACCACTTCAATCACTACACATGGTAGATTCTCCATTGTAAAAGACACACACATGCCTTCTACTTTTATCCAGACGAGGGCAAAGCTGGAATTGAATGCCAGTTCTTGGTTCACGTGCTGTGCTCAATCAATAGACTACACCTTTTGGCAGTGTCTTCAGGTCCAAATGCACCTGCTGTACTCAGCACTGGACCAATGATAAAGCCTGACAAGTTTATGATAATAGCTCAGTTTTCTTAACCTATGTAAGGAGCACAAAGAAAAGCAGCAGAGTACAAAGCCCTGGCATGCAACATCTGTTGGTAGGTAAGGCACATTTAACACTGGCCAGCTGTCTAGGAGTCCCATGTCTCCATAACTTTATTATCAGATCACAAATGCTGTAAGCATAGCGTAGCTTGCTACTGAAGAACAGGCAAAGTCAAGTGTCCAGCCATGGCTAATCACATTATCTGACAAGACCAGGAAGTGAATAAGCCAGCACTGAGCTTTTAATGTTCTTCTCGTGCGAATCCATAGACTGCCACTGATTTTACGGCAGGAAGGAGCTCATTGAGAAGGAGCAACAGAACGTCTCAAGGCTGCCAAAGGCAAAGAGGCATGCGGCATATTGTTCAAGGTAATGAACGACTTGCCAAGATCGATTTGGATGGCAACAGATTAAGTGAGACCCTTTTCCAAGAGGAAAATTTCCTCTCAGGCAGATTAGGATTTGACATACCCTTTGGATGATCCAGTGTCTCTGTCCGTGACTATTCTGGCTTTTATGGAGCCCTCAAACGACTCTCTCAATGTCTCCTCTGTTGTATCCTCAGAAAGGCCTTTGACAAACAGCGTTTTGCTTTGTTCTAAAAGAAAGAAAATCCACTTGTAAATCCCCCACATTGTAACGTTCCTGTCTGGAAACAGGTTTCTGAGAGCCAGCTTCCCATCAAGCCCTATTATCCACAAGGGGAGCTTAGCCAAACAGGTATTGTGCCCGATTTGCAGTATGGACAACTTGAATTGTCCAGGAATCCATGAGTATCCAACCCCAATATTAAATGACACTGCTGAGGAGGCGGGTGGCATAGCCCTCTACCCCCATTTCTGATAGCTAAAGCAATGACACAATGCAGGGAATTGGTTCAACAGAAGATGCTCACAAAAACTGACTCGTTTTCCTAACTAAGTTGTAACCAGTGCAGCTGGATCAGTACTTAACTATCTAGGATTTCTGTGATAACTTTCATCTGTATCTCCGATAATCAGTCATCACCTTCAGCATCAGCTCTCAGAGAGCAGGTCCTTCCATATCTATCCAGGTCTGAGTCTTGGCCAACAGAATTGACATGTTCATGGCTGAACCACAAGCATCTCACAGAAAAGAGACAAAAAGTCAAAGGATAAAGCACAGAGCACTTACGAGTATATCCTCCCCTGGCGCCAAAGTCCCTTTTCTGTCCTCCTGGCGTGGTAAATTCTAATCTGATCTGTCTGCCTTCAATGTCTGTGTTGTTACAGGAGGTCAAAGCCTCTTTAGCATCTTCAACCGTAGGAAATTCTATAAATGCAAAACTAATAGGAGAGAAAAGTGTTAAGTCAGGAGCCTTGTTCCTGTAAGCTGGATCACTATTACATCATACGCATTCTTTAAAATTAATGTTACCCAAACAGAGAACAAAGAACCGCAGTCAACTCTTACATACCCCCTAGGCCTGCCTTGTTCATTTTGCGGCATCCTGATAGATGAAGCTTTTTCAAACAGTTCTTGAAGAGTTTCTTCTGTTGCACTGTATGCAAGGTTGTTCAGAATGAGGGTCTTGGACTCTCCTCCTCCTCCTCCCCCGCCACCTACACAGGAGACAGATGCACAACTCAGAACTCCGCACTTACAGACTTTTCTGCGTAAAAATGACTGTTTTGGGGGGAAGGGGTGAGTACACGTGCAGATTTTCAAGGCTCTAGCACAGGGGCAGGCAGTTATTTCGGGCAGAGGGCCGCTTACTGAGTTTTGGCAAGCCTTCAAGGGCTGCATGACAGGCAGCCAGGGGCAGCGAAATATCTTCTAAATTTTTAGGGGCCCCGTGGGCCGGATAGAATGGCTTGGTGGGCCGCATTTTGCCCACCCCTGCTCGAGCATTTCATCTGAGGGTAGCTTCTACTCAATGCCAGACGACCTGCCCTAAAGATGAAGGAGGGGACAGACAGCAAAAGGGCAACTAAGGCAGGGAGCAGAACAGAGCAGGAGATGGGCAGGGTGAGCAAACAAAAAAAGCAAAGCATCAGATTGGGTGGGGAGAGGGAACTAGAATGGTGGTTGGGGTAGGTGTGGGGCTAATTAGTAGGATGTCTGTGAAAAAGACTGGCCCTCACTGGTCGAAAAAGCTTGAAGGTGCAATTTCCCCAGCCCAATCAATCATTTTCAGAACACAGGATTTTAAGAAAAGAACATGAAACGTTAGCAACGGAAAGGCAAGAGGAGACCGTGCAAGAAAAGCGATCTGCTAGTGAAGCAAGCACAGGACACTTGGCAAAACTGCCATCATGGCAGCCCGCATGCTCTTGGTGACAAGTGTGCCTGCACGCACCATCGGGCCCTGTAAATACCTTTCTGAGTTTTTTGCTGGCTCTTCTCCCCTGTGTAGTCTAGGATTATAGCACGACCATCGATTTCAGTGCCCTGTTTCTCCTCCAGTGCTTTGTCTGCTTCGGCTTCTGTTTTAAACTCTATGTAAGCAATTCTGAAATGAAGGAGAGCATATTAACAATGTTTCTTCTAAGCTGCCAAATGCATGGAGAACTGCATCACTGTTTTACTTTGAGTAGGTGTTCTCTCGCTTATTTTTTGAGGTAGGTTTTGGAAACAGCAGAGATATCAATCCAAGGTAAAGAACAGAGCTGCACTAGAAGTTTACATGCAAAACAGGCTGGTGGTTAAGAACTACCACAGCTACCTACCCTTTACTGGTCCCGCCCTTGCCAGAAACTAGCCGGACCTCCAATGCATTTTCAAATACTTCCTTAATTTCATCTTGGGTTACATGGTAAGGCAGGTTCTTCACAAAGATTGTTCTGGCATCTCTCTCTGCAACAAGAAAAAACAAGATGTAGAGTCTCGCTAATATGTTGAAAGGTAGTAACAGACCCTGCTCACTTTAAAGCATCACATCAGCTCCAAACACCAAGATAAGGCAATTCAGAATTAGACCAAGAAGAGCACCACATAAAGCTGTATCTTTACGGGCACCAGTAAACATGGTTTATTTACAGATTAATGGCTACTGGAAAGTTAAGAAGGTATTTGTGCACAAACAAAACCCAGGTTCCAAAGTGAGAAAGATAACATTGTGTGCTGCCAGTAAAGCTAGTTCCCTTCTTCCCCAATGCCTCCGTTGTTCTTTAAGATTCCACTTTCACAGATGTGGCACAAGGAGAACTGGCCTGAGATTTACAAGGCCACAAAGCAGATTTAAAACATGTAAGATTCAGATAAAATTGAAAAAGGATTTAACCTCTTGATGAGCGAGAACTTCATGTTTTAACAAAGAGAGTGACAGATAATTACAGCCAGAACTTGATCAAAAAAATGTTAACTTAATGCTCTCTCAAACACTGAAGTGCTTTTACCAGTTCTTCTTTGAGACTTAGAAGGACAATAAAAAGATTTTAGCAGACTGGCTTCCAAATAAGCACGGCTAAGAGCACATCAGCAGTAAGGTATAATTGACTGCACTGACCACTGCAAAGGTTCAAAGAACCAAAATGGTTTCCTACCTTTCTTGTTTTCTTTATAGTTTTCTTTAGTCCTTGCTTTGTCCAGTTTTATTTCCAAGCCCATGAGCTTCTTCCCATTGAACTTGAGAGCTTTCTCCAGGTCATCAGCTGATGCAAAATCAACGTAGCCAAACCGCCTGAAAAGGAGAGAGGCATTAAAATCTACACTGATCTTTTCACTTTGTACCAACGGACATTATGGAAGTCTATTCCCAGCAGGGACTGCTGTTGAAGAGTTAAGCACAGGAAGCAGCTTTCACAGAAGCCATTAAAGTTTACAGCTGCTGCTAGACAAGAGATAGAAAGCATTCCTTGATGGCACTGGGGGCCAACCTTTTGGCAGGCATGCCACAAGTTTGCTCCACACCTTTCTCAAGTGCCACAATCCCCTTCTCTTGACCGTTGTTACCCTGTTTTCTGCTCCCAGCCTGACCTGCTACTTTGCTGTCTGCTCCCAACCCTATCTGTCACTGTGCTAATTCCCCAATATCATGTGTGCCATACAGGAGGTAGCCTGTGCCACGGGTTGGCCACCTCCTGCCTAAGGGAATTCAAAAAAAAGTAGTGCCCTCTGGCTCTTCCCCTCCAGTGCTCAGCATTGAGGGGGAAAACACAACTGTAGTAGGTCTGTACTGAGGCAGCAACACAGGGTAGGTGAAAGGTGGGGGCACACTGAGGCAGCAGCAAGGGGCTGGTGGCTGGACACCGAAGTCAGCCTGGGGGCTTGCTGCCATGTGAGCATGTCAAACAGGCCACACCGCCAACTTCTGATAACTCACAGGATTACCAGCCAGCCAGACTGAACGGCTTTGCAGGCTGAATGTTTGACACCACTGCCTTAAGGTAATCGAAAATTTGAGTGACTTTTCTTGTGTTTCCCTGGTTAAATTCACTTGGACTCTTTACTCTGCCTGACAGGTATGCTTAGAGAAAAGCCGCGGGACTAGGAGGCAGTGACAATCAAATAAATTAACATGTGCTGCAGGGGAAACCCCACCTCTTTGATCAGCCACACCCTCTCAGGCAGTTTTGCACGCTATCCAACTATTCCTCTTTCATTACATGTTCATCTGCTAACCAAGTACACCTGCAATTTATATTCACCACTCCAAACATCAGCAGGCAGAGGTTTAGCAGAGAACTTACTTGGACGGGCCAATTCTGACTTGCAAGACTGTTAGGTTCTTCTTGCCAAAGAAATCCTTGACGCCAGTCTTCAGTTCCTCCAGGTCCTTGTTGGGGTCCAGATTTCCAATGAAGAGGGAGAAAGCTTCAGCATTTTCTTAAAAAATAAAAAATAAATAAAATAAATAAAAACGCACACACTAAAAGTTGTACGTCTTAAATGCAACCCTGTTGTAACTCACTGACTGCACCAGACTTCAGCACATCAGATTTTAAAAAAAACCTGACATCAGGCTTCAGTATTAAGTCCCTAGTACTCATCACCTGTGCTGACAGCCCCCCAGCAGTCAAAGCCTTTGCACAAACTCCCCATCCAGCAGGGTTTCACACTTGAGAAGTGCTTTAAGGGCTAAGCTGGAGACTCAGGAAGCTTTTTCAGACTGCTGCTTCTCTAACCTACCTTCAGTTGTTTTCTTTTTCTTGACTTCTGGGGCACTCTTTTGATTGGCCATTTCTTTCTTTCGTTTCCCAGATGCCTCCTTCACAGGCTCTATGGAACAGAGGGAAAGGCAGGAAGATGTTGAAATAAAAACCAAGGTTTAAGGCACCAGTAACAACCAGTCTTTCAAACTGGATCAGTACTTGACTATCTTGAGAAACGCTCATGTGTGATTTCCATCACATCATCATTTCAAACACTTCTCATCAGTTCCAGTTTTATGCAAATCAAGGACTTCTGACACAACTTGCTCAAGAATGGTAACTGCTCTAGAAGACACCAGTGTGCTACTGCACAGCACAAATTCATACACAGCTACGTTCAACTCACTTCCCCCCTCATCCTCTTCATCGTCATCCTCCTCATCGTCATCTTCTTCATCATCATCATCATCGTCCTCATCGTCCTCCTCATCATCCTCCTCTTCAGAATCTGCCTTGGCTATCGCAGCAGCAGCCGCCTTCACTAGAGCTACTTTTTTCACTTGCACTGGGGTGATGTCCATGGCCTCGTCCTCGTCAGAGTCTGACGTGATAAGAGATGTTAGAACACAAGCTGCAATTTTGTGCAATACCAAGGAGACTTCACGTCAATCCCCTTTGAGGGGAATGGGACACTCAACTCATCTTGTTCATTTAAGCCTGTGAGCTCTAAAAAAAAGAACTCTTAATGCATCTCCATGATACCTAGCACAAACCAATTTTGGCTGGGCGCCTGTAAGTGCCACCCATGATATCATAAGTCCTACCATCCAATGGTAAGAAGCTCTGCAAGCACCAACAGGAAATAAGTGCTCCAAACCCACTAGTAACATGTTAACAACTCCATCACTAAGCTCTTGCAGCCCCATAAAAACTAGTTTAGACTTAAGTGGGACAGATGAGCAGTTGCCTTTAAAAATGTGAAGTTAAGGAGTCTTTTGGCACCCTCTTAGCAAGTCATGCCAATTCAAACCATGTGCTCCTAATCTCAGCCCTGTCACGCCAAGCACAGCCTACATACCATCCTCTTCATCATCATCCTCCTCGTCATCTTCCTCCTCGTCAGACTCTTGCTTTGCTGGGACAGCGACTGGTTTTTTGGCGGGTACAGCTACAGGTTTTTTGGCTGCAAGCTTCACAGGCACTGGGACTTCCTCCTCCTCCTCCTCGGACTCATCTGTAACAACAGCCAATTACTCAGTGTTCTGCAAACTACAACCGAGCACATTATTGTTACTACAGCCTTGACTGAAACTTTAACATCTCATCAACTTGGGTCCAGTTAGAAGCTCTGGAAACAGAGGGCTAATTGTCAGTTGAAGCATCACGTAATACTGACAGAGCCAATGCCATGTGCTTCCATACAGCTCCAACATTAAACCTGCCTATCTTTCTTTCACTGCCCCCATCTTGATGCTACGCCAGACCTGTGCCACTTGACTACTAGATGTGCTGAACTGCACAACAGAGCTGCGATGGAAAATGCACAAGCAGCTGGACTGGACCATCTCAGTGTACTCGTTGAAGATAGCCAAACTACTGATAGACTGGTGATGCCCAACCAGTGTGCCCAGGCACCCTGAGGCACTGCAGAAAGTGAGAGGAGATAAGCAGCTAAGGGCAGGCTCAACCTCCTGTTCTTGATTCCAGTCGTCTTTCCTGCCTAAGGCAGGGGGGCTGGACTCGATCTTGCAAAGTCCCTTCCAGCCCCTTACAATCTATGAATCTATGCCTGCCTGCGCCGTCTGCAAGGTGGTAAGCACTGCAATAAAGAAATTAGTTTCTGAATGGGGTGCCGCTCAATTCCTAAGAGTTACGGAAGGTGGCTTGAGATTTAAAAGGTTGAGAACTGCATGACTGTTGTCTTACCAGAGTCCTCTTCATCCCCCTCGCTGTCATCATCTTCTTCTTCCTCGCTCTCCTCTTTCTTGGCATTTTTTCCATTTTTCGCTCCTTTGGCCGGAGCAGCAGCCTTCTTCACTGGTGGAGTCGCTACCTTCTTAGCAGGAGGGGCAGGCTTTTTTCCAGGAGAGGCAGCTGCAGCTGCTTTTTTGCCAGGCGTGCCTGCTGCTTTCACAACTACTTTCTTCTGAGGAACCACCACCTTAGAGAGAGAAACACCGAGCGAGGAATGATTAAGCAACTCCTACACGTGCTTCAAAAAGCTGGTTTCAAATTGTCAGCTACTGAAGTCACAACCCACAAATGAGACCATGTGCCGGGGCCTCTAATAAGCTGGAGGTTTGGCCTTCCTGCCCAAGGGCCGAGCCACTCTGGCCGTTAACAGCTACCCTTCATCTGCGCGCAGATCAGGAACATGCACGCTACGCCTGTTCATTCCCGTAACACGGTAACTCCAGGACAAATCGTGTCCTGGACGTGCCGTTTTCAGAGCTGTCAGCAAGTTGGCTATGAACAGTGTCCTCTGTGATGCTCTACAAC